GGTGGTTTTAATAAAATATTTAAATTTATCTAAGAAATACGACAAATACAGAGCGACAAAGATCTTGCTTTGGGAAGAACAAACAAAAGAGAGATTTGATTGAGAAAAAAAATGCTACAAATCACGCAACGAATTCCTAATTTAATCGATGGGTGTCATCATCAGCTGGCCCGTTGGTTATGTCAGAATTACGAGATCATTCCTTTACCCAAGTTCAAGTCTTCGAGAATGGTTTTGAAGAACAAGCGAAAAGAATCGGTCAAAGACTGCTCGTGCGATGCGCATTCCAGGTTTCGAATGAATGTTCTTACATCATAAGTCAAGAGAGTTCAGAGGTTGCAAGGTCGTTGAATGCACCGAAGAGTATAATGAACGTCAAAGCGTGCGAATTGTGATTCGTGCGAGGTGGAGATGGATCGGGACGCGAATGGTCTTGCTCAAATATTTGAACCTATATGGGACACGATATGCATAGAACAGACTAATTTCATTTACTCATATTGGATTCAATTTCAAGGGTTCTCAGTTGCACGCATTTTTAAGACACTATGGTATTCAACAACACAACGCATGCATGATAAATCCTAAAACAATGAAGCTTTTTTATTTTTTTATTGTAAGCGTGTCCAACCAATGGAAGTCAAAGTAGGACAATGAAAACGATGGGCAGGGTGAAACAAATAATCCAAAGTTTCATGTCATTTGAGATTTCTTCTGATAAATTGATGTACTAACGCATCCATACAGTATACTGTATAATTACTGTATGCGTATACGTATATTTTGATTGTACTGTACTTGTTCGCCGTTGTCCCTTAGACCACGTCAGAAGTTTGGTTTTACCCCTCATTTATACGGTGTTGGAAGTTAATTGGGCCTTTCTTTGTGGTGTGTCAGAATACTCGCCACCTTCATTCATTCGGTAAATTATTTCCTTAACCGTTAACTTCCTGAGTAAAAAAACGTTGCGTCGATCCGAATATTCGAAATTTTTAGATCGATCTTCCGGGGAACTATGTAATAATGTGATTCGAATAATCCTGCATTTAGAGTCTGGTTTATGATTTCAATTCGTTCGATGAGAAGTAATAAAAGAGTATGAACTTGTTTAACTAATACCGATATTATTGTTTGCCATAAGTGAGATGAAAAATAAATAGTCTTGACACTATGATTTTGTAACATGATTGTTATTTTTATACTTTGATCTCAGGTTCATATCCCCCCACACGACATCACCTCATTATAGTGGAGAAAATTTGAAAGTGATAATTGGGTTGCGAACGATAGAGAAATTATTATATGAATTAGCAATTAAATAATCCACATAGAACGTTATGAATTTAGCAATCTCTTATACCCTATACTCGCATCACTTCGATCAGGCATTTGATAGCTTATCTTTATAATACTTCTTATTTATTTATTTATATTACTGTTTATTTATCATGTCTAATAAATCTTACTGTATGATTCTTTCTTTTAACTTGCTTCAAAAATATTTATCTCGGGTTTTGATTATTTTATAAATGTTTTCCATAATTGATGATTCTTCCTTGCAAAAACGATATGCCGATTATCCATAAAAGTTGATGTTTCACTCGATCATCAGTTATCAACGGAAAAGATAGATAAGATCATCCAACGTAAGCCTTCCAACCCTCAAATCCCCCTCTCCTAATGCGCCAGCTGCCAATTGTCGCTGTCAAAAAAAAAAAGATTGATTAGCTTGATCAGACGGAAAAGAGTTGAAGAACTCATTAAAAATCAATACCTTTTTTTCTTGTAACACTAATATACGATCTTCAATGCTTTCCTTGATAGTTAGCCGTTTTACAACAACATTTTTTTGTTGACCAATCCGATGGACACGGTCGACTGCTTGATCTGTATGTATTATGAACAATATAAATTAATCTCGACTTTTGGATTTTTGCACCGAGTGATGAGAAAAAAAATACAAACCTTCGATTGCTGTTCAAAGGCACGAAACATGAACAAGATAAATGATGAGTAACATATTTAAGCAAGCGGAATAATATACAATCTCAGAATTATACTCACAAGGGTTCCACCAACAATCGAGCATGATAACCTTAAGGATGTAAATAAATTTTTAATCTCCAAGAAAACAGGATTAGCAATGAAATTGTAAATCACTTACTCGGTTAGCTTTGGTAAGATTAAGTCCGACACCACCTATCGAGCAAGAATTAAATTAAATTAAAAAAGAGTCCACTTAAAAATGGAACATCATTCCTATTTTGGCAACTGTAAACTTACCGGCTTTCAGTGAAACTAGCATGATGAGAATTTCGGGATCATTTGACAACTTTTGAATTGCTTTGGTGCGCTCTTTCGCATCCATGGTGCCATCATACTATAATTGAATCATAATGGAGGAAATAAATACTCGTGATATTGATTCATCACGGTAACCATGTGATTGAAAGTTAGAGACATACCCTACAGAACTTGTATCCAGCATTACGAATAGGTTCTTCAATCAAATCCAACATTGAAGTCCATTGGGAAAATACTATGGTTTTACAGCCCGGATCTTCCTGTTGCCCTAATGCCAATTCATGCATAAGTCGTTCGATCTTCGTGGAAGGAACGAAAGTTCCTTCGGATGCACCGGCAAATGCGTTTCCACTTGGGAGAGGCTCCTTGGAATCTTCTCCATCGTCCGAAGGATTGGTATTTTGTGAAAGTAGTTCCGAAAGCGTTGGGAGCTCGACTTCTTCTTCCTCCGGTGAATTTTTTTGTTGTGTAAGTTGTGTAAATGCATTGACTCCAATTAAATCGTTTTCCCTTTAATCAATTTGTTCACGGTGAATGTTAGTACAAGCGTTGTAAAAAGTCCGAGCTTTAAACTTTATTTCACAAAATCTTACTTGATTGGACTACGACAAAGTGGACATTTACGATCTTCTACATCAATAACGTTTGCCTGGTTATCACCTTCAAACACGCTTTTAATACAATCTACATTTGGACGTGCACTTTCAGTGAACATTTTTATGATCAAGGAAAAACACGCACTATTTGACAATAAAGCTTACCGAGACAGAATATATGACCACACGCAGTCACCATCCCCTTTTCAATACTAAAGAATCAGCGATGTCAATACAATATTGAATCTCGTGTGTGTTAAAAGCACAAAGAAAATCCAACTTACACATCATAGCAAATAGGACAATCCTCGTTAGGGTTATCTCCCATGAATTTCTCAATTAGTCTTTCGTATATCTTATCGGATAATACTTGTTTTGCGCGTTCAAGTTCCTGCTCGGGATCCATCGGTTTTGAAGGACCCGTTTGCGGATTGTCAGGCATGGATATCACATCTCCAACATCTACCTGCGTCCTACATGTTGATAAAGGTTAGATACAATTCGTGATCCTCAACGGTACCATTAGAATAATGAAACTTCAAACTTACAAAAACGGATGATTACATGCTTGGCGCAATCGGAGCAACAACACGAGAATATAAGCATAATTTTTCAAAACGCTTCCTATTAACCATTTAATCATATATAAGCATTGTAAGAAGATAAATCGTCTAAATGGATTTTAAAAGAAAAATAATTTTACCAGCTTTCAAATAACGATTAAATATAACTCTTGATCGTTTTTCGAGCTAAAAAACGATAAATTAAAAAAATGATCTAGGATACTCCAATATACTATACTGTATCAAGACATCTTTTTTGAGCACATACCGCGTCATAGAACTGTCGTTCATCTGGCGAGAATTCATTGCATACCATGTCAACGCTTTTTTCAGGAAGTTGCAAAAGAGGTTTTCCGTTTATCTTGGAATCTTTCGTTCTACGCAACAAAATTCCCCGAAGGAATGCCTGGATCTTTCTCATAGCCCGTTCACTGGTAGATCCAAATTCTTTACGGAACACTGACCACTCTGAATAACGAACGACCCTAAGGAAACGGAAATAGGAGTATAAATCGTCGATTTGATTCTGTATGTGAATTGAATAATGAGTTAGAATCATGATACAACACTCCTTAAATATGATAGACAAACACTTTACTTGGATTGGTGTGCCTACATAAAGATATAGACAAATTAATATTAGTTGGCAATAGGGATTGCGACTAGAATGATTCTTCAGGGGATACCTGTCAAACACCACCGATGGATCGTATTCAAAGCTGCACAACCTTTGCTGATGCGCGAAAGACGATTTTTGATATTCTGAGCCTCTGTGAAAACAACAAACGTAAAATTATTATCATTAGTATCCAACGCAAAAAAAAAGAACCATAGTTAATCAATAATCAATTAGACACCAAATAAGATTACCATCCAACACGACCCTGAACCAAGTCACTCGAAACATAGGACCCTAGACAAGGTTTAGGTTTGATCATTGGTTAAAAGCAATTAGTTAAATACTAGGATATCATTAACCGATGACCTCAAAATTCACCTTATCTTCTTCAGGATCGTCGGGAAGATCACGAATGAGCGTCTGGTACGTCGTGATCACAATATCATATTTCTTCAGTTCCCGCAGGTTTGCCTTACCTGGCCCATGGTACACGTGCACCCTAAACGTTCCTATTAAAAGAGCATTTATAGACAGGAAATTAACGCATATGATGAATCGGAATTTAATTTAACTAGGTGACCTCCGAATTCAATCATACCGGGCTCAGTTTTATCCAGGATCTCGGCCTCCCATTGATGAATGAGAGCTGTGGGTGCTACTATCAGCGTTGATTTTATGTTAGACTTCGATCTGTTTACCACGAGCGTCGCAATCGTCTGAATGGTCTAGTATTAAAAAAGAAATGCTTAAGAATGTGACAGCGCCATCGTGTATTTTAACAACCAAACAAAAAAATTCGAACTCCTACGAACCTTTCCAAGTCCCATGTCATCGGCCAGTATTCCGCCTTTTGTGTCATTATCCTTTTTCTCACAATCTACCATCCATGAAACCCCGACTATCTGATGATCCATCAATTTGATTCTTAGACCATCAACTGCCCCATTTTGAGAATTAATCTTACGACTCGCTTCCTCAAGAGGAGTTTCATTGACTTCTTCCAACGGTATCATTCTTATTAATTCGTGAATGTCACTAGAGTTATTTGAACTACCACGGTTCCACGATTCACGAGCGTCGGTAAAGTTGGGAAACGGATCACGAGAGTCGGTAAAATTAGGAAACGGATCACGAGAAACCGATAGGGCCGAAACAAAACCGCCATGCAGAGGTAAATTGGAAACTGGTTCTGTTTTAACTACTCCAGTTTGATCAACTTGAGTTACATTGGTTAAATCGATAACCTCACATTCCGAATCTGTTTCAGTCACCGATCCTTCGTCTTTTATGGTATCTAGAGATTTAAAAGAACCAAAGTCTGATTCGCGCTCGAACTTCACCTCCTGGGTGGGTTGTGGAAATGTTATTATATTATCCCCGTATTCAGACTTGATATTCTGATCAGGTAATGGTAGCGGTAGAGACGGTGATGATGATGATGATGATGATATCAACTCTCTCATATATTTCACGTCTTTAATATTTTGATTAAACTGCGATGCTGATTTCAAACTCGACTCAGATTCCGATTCCGATTTCACGTCTCGATTAAATTGCGATAGAGATGAAAAGTCGATCTCGTGCCCCGATTTCATATTTTGATCAAATTCCGAACCGATAACTGATGATCCTAAATTTGACTCATGACCAGATTGCACGCACTGAAGGACAGATGACGAATCTATTCCATAGTTAGACGATACAGTTTGAAAATTTGCAAGTTGTGACAATGATTCCGGATTAGTCATATATTCTGAATGAGAACCCGGAAAAATTTCTGTTGAATTTATCTCATATTCCGGTTGTACATCTTGTTCAAAAGCTTGCAGAATCGATGTGGAATCTAATCCATATTCATTGTGATAACTTTGAGATGAGAGTTGTGACACGGGTGTCGAATATGCCTCATATTCTGATTGCATACCCTGGGCTGCAAGTTGGAGAAGTGAGGTTGCGTAATCATAATCTGGTTGCATATCCTGAAGAGTCGTGAGTTGGTATGGAGCATATTCCGGCTGAATGCTCTCAAGACCTGCAAGCTGCATCATTGACGTTGAACCATCAGGATTATATAATTGCTGTTGTTGTTGCTGTTTCGATTCGAAGTCTTGGTTAATACTGAAGTTATCAAAGGGGACGCATAACGATGACAATGATGATACGGTGCGGTTGAAAGGAATGGTATTTGATTCTGTAGTGTCGACCATGATACCACTTTGTTCTCGCGAAAGAGATGGTGATGGATTTAATACGGTTTCCATATATGAACTACTTCGGTTCAAACTTTCAGGTTCTTGAATTAAGACGGTATCTAAATAAGAATTAGTTCTATTCAAATCATCAGATTCCCAATTAGAATTAATAATGTGCCCCAGTGGTGCCAGCTTTTGACGTTTATCTTGAATGGCTAGGCTAAATGAGAAAGAATATCAAATGTTTATTAGCAGAGAATAAGAATTTCTGGTCAAAGAAACGAAATATCATACTCGTTAACATCTCTTGACTCGGTTTTCAATGATGGAGAACGCGGACGTTTACGATTCTCATTCAAGTCGCCAATTTCATTCTCTTTATCTTTTATTATGTAAATTTGTGTTTGTTCGGATAAATCGTTCATGGTCCCCTCAATATTACTTTCGGAAACGAGACTTGAGCTCTTCTTGTCTGCTATGCGCTTATTGTTTAAGTGTATTTTCGTTCTTAAATGATTCGCAAAATTCATTTGACCTTTACGTATGACAAACTGTCGCACGCAAACGTTGCACTGAATACGATATGCGTCGCATTCATTTTCAACACCCCTAATACGGACTACATCAAAATTATCCTGCGGAAATTTTTGGCGTATAGGCTTAATGACGTTTTCTATCCAATCCGGTGGATGAGACACCTGCAAATAATTATTTAAAGTAATTAGAGTGTCTTTGCCTTCGCGTACGAGGAATTTTCTGATGGCAACGTGAAAATTCGTGTATATGTACATACTATTTCCAAATTATCCGACGAATTACTCATATAGAAAATTTACGAATGCTCTTCCTTTAAATTCCGTCCGAAGAATTGAACATTCAAGATCAGTACCACAACATTTTCTGTTTTCAGGTCCGCCGAACAAAGGACGCCGAAAAAATAACGGAATACAAGTAAATAATATAAGATTTACCAACACTTGTTTGTATTTGTACAGAGAATATTTAACTTCGGAACGGTTGTATATGACCAGGAATATTTCAACTAAAAAATTTTTATTCGTGTGAATATACAAGTATTTATTAGTCTCACGGAAGTAACCATAGAACTTCAAAACGAGTTTGGTATTTCAAGTTCGCGAAAGAAATGTCGGGCGTCCAGAATACGCGTTTTGAAAGAAGTAAAATCACGCGGAAAAAATATTTGTTATATAAAAACATCTTTTAAATAAAGTAAGGTGATAATACCTTTGTAATAGCTTTTTGTGTAATTTTCTCCGGGTTAAAAATAACACCACCGAACTTACTATTTTGCCCGAAAAACCTTTTGAGGGAAGACAAAGAAGTCGCGGATCAGTACAATAAATTTTTATATTTAGCACTTTTTTTTTTTATTCACTGTTATATAAGGTCAGATCAAAGCGCGTCAATTATGCAATGCAAGTACGTTACGTTTGTGTCACGTCACTTATTGCCACAACGCGCCACATATTTATGTGACTCTTTAATTTGTTTGCTCACAAAGTCAAAATATTTGTGGATTCAAATGGCAATAAATGAAATTTTATAAATTTTCACTCATTAGCTCATTAATGCAGTGACATATGCCTTTTAATGATCACGTGCACGGAACGTACCTAAAATGCGTGCATGTATACATATACATTTATAAGTATTTATTTCGGAGTTATATTTAAAACCTTCCTTTCTTTAATGAAATGCCATTTTTGACACTTGCGTACAACGTATACTGATAGCGGATCCTTTGACTCACATCCTCACTAGGAGATACCTCACTTTCATTAAAACCTTGTGTTACTAAAACTAAGGGGAGCAAATTATATATAAAGAGTAAAAATTCCGAGAGGTAATCTAAACTTTCACATTACACAACGTTTCGAAAAATAGTAAAGTAGCAACTCTGATAATCGATGTTCCGTTCTATCAAATTCAAGATTATTAATATGTGACTTCGCAACATAATATAATTGCAATAGCTATAAAAAAAAAATTACGTACCACCGAGCATTTATAAAGAAATTTGATTTCATTAAAGCCACTCGTTGTATTAATAAAATTTTTTATTAATCGAATATTTTATACGATCCCCAATTATTTCCTTCTTAGCATATAGATGTTATTGTGTGAATAAGAATTAAAGAGGTTAATCCATTTGATCCGGCAAATGATTATTGATCAAAAAAATGATCTGGAAATCTAATTTAAAAAGAGATAACTGTTATTGATACTATCTTTACAGTATAATTTTATTTACAGCATACGTCTTACGCTATTAAAAATATTAAAAATCTGAAAATAGTTTTTTTTTTATAAATTCTTTTATCAATGTAAAAAATCAAATTAATAAAATAAACAAAGGTTTTTTTTTTAAGAAATTATATATATTATAAACCGCAATTATATTTTTAATTATTTAAGTTATTTGAATTTAATCTATTTTTTAAATTTGTAGTAATTATAAGAGAATTAAAATAAAATAAAAAATTTTTTTAATTTAAAGATTATTGCTTATAGTTCATTACTAAGGTTTATTTAAACAAAATCTAGACTACTTATTATATTTCTAATCATTTTTTTTTTTTTAATTTATTCCAAAATTGTTATCTTGTTTCAATTTTGATTTTAATTTAATTCTTTTTCAATATTTTCTTCTTAATTTGTAAGATCTTTAGTTTCATGTTTTTTTAATTTTTCTGTTTTTAATTTTTTTTTCTTTAACCTTTGTATAATTGCTTATCTAATATTTTTTTATTTTGGTTTTTTTTTTTATTCTTACAATTTGAGACATCTGTTATTTCATCTTTTCTTTTTAACTTATTTATAAACTATTCTTAATAATTTATATAATAGAAATTTTGCTTTACTATTCTTGACTTTTAGCTTTGCTATAGCTAATATTAATTCTGTAATATCTTTTTTTTGAAAGAATCTTAAACAAATATTTATAATGTTCTTTTTTTAAAAAAATTTATTTATATATTACTTTTTTAATAATATATAAATATTGATTTATAAGTTTTAATTTTTTTTTATAAATATCTTTTAATTACTTGTTAAATATTGATCTTAAACTACATTATATGGACAAAAGTATTGCATATCTTAATTTATTATTATATAAAAATGTGTATAATAATTTTATTTAAAATTTTAATATATTATTGTTTATATTTTAAAAAAATATATATATAATTTTCATATTTTTTCAATAGATAAACATTAAATTAAATATAAATATATTTATCTTTTCAATATTTTTAATTTCAAAAATGTATCATTTTACTAAAGGTCAATGTGATGAAATTATAGGTTTCTATAAAGATAAACAATCCTTATCAAAAATTTCAAACCTTTTTAAAATTTATAGAACAACTGTTTCTTATATAATTAAAAATTATTTTAATAGAAACAATCTTGCTACTTTTTCTAAAACTAAACATTCAAATTTTTTGACTTTTAAAAATAAAATCAATTAATAAATTATATAGAAAGTATATTATAAAGAATAGAAGTAATTATTAAAAATAATGAATAGTCAATAGAATATAAATTTATATATAGATATTTTATTATATAAAATATAATATATTAAAATTTTAAATAGAATTATTATATAAAATTTTATATAATTAATAAATAAATAATATGTGATACTTTTATTCAAATAGATATATTTTAAATTTCTTTTAAAAATTTTAAAATACTAAAGTATAAAAAGAAATATTTAAAAAATTATTATAAAAATTAATAAGTTAAAAAATTTTTTATTAAATTATATTTTTTAATTTTAATTTATTAATTTGTTTCTTTCTAATCTTAAATTTTAATAATAAGTTTTAATAAAAAATTAATATTAAATATAAATAATTATTTTTGAAAATAATTTAAAATATAAAATTATTATTCTAATAATTTAATCCTAAATTTAATTATATAAATTATATAATATTAATTAATTATATAAAATTTTCTATTATAAATCTATTAATTTAAATTTCTGAATTCAAAACCTTGAAAGAATTAAAATATCAATTTTTTTATAAATATATAATATTATTTGATAAATGAATATTAATTTTAAAGTTTAAATAAAAAGTTTTTATATATAAAAAATTATTAATATTAAATAATTAATTATTAAAATAATTATATAATAATCTTATTGCACCTATAGTCTTAAAATAATAACTTCTTTAATAAATATATAAAAAAATTTTATAATAACAAGTATAGTAATTTTATTGTATTTAAAATTAAACTATTTTTTAATACTTTTTTAACACAAAAAATTTTTTATTACCTATATTCTAAATAATACAAAAATATATATTGTTCAAATAATAAACTTTATTAACTTTATTCTTTATTCAAACTATAGTAATACTCCAATATCAAATATGCAACAAGCAATAAAACTAGTTTGTAAAATTATAATCAATATCTAGAACTCTGAAAAGTATCGAACCAGTATTAAAATGATATTAAAATGGTACCGATCTATAGTAAATTTAATATATGGATTGTAATTTACTCATATGAATTTATAATAAATTTAAGTATTGAACTGGTATTGAAATAGTATCAAAATAGTATCATTAGGAGTATATATGTGGTAGAAATTGGTAGATCCTTAACGCAATTGACGCAATTATTTGATACAATTAATTAAGTTACTATTAAAACATATAAAATAATTGAGTCAGATACAATTATTTTTGAGGATTTGGCATTAAGTCAACTGCAAAATAATTTACACTACATGTATAATTAGGAGTCCTATCAATATCTTCTTAATATCTGATATTTATAATTGGATTAAAGCATTTATTAAAATTTTTATACTATTCTATAATTTTATTTAAAAACTCTAATATAGTATAACAAACATTATATATTTTACTAATATCAAATAAAACAAAAATTTCAAAAAAAAATAATAATAACAATAATAACAAAAAAAAATAATAATAAAATAATAATAATAACAATAACAACAACAACAATAATAATAATAAAAAACTCTCACCCGTTCACCACTGATTTTTTAAAAATTTCCTTTTTTGGAAATCTTCTTCCAAGAAGCGTTTTTCTCTCTTTACTTTTCTAAGGCAAATAAGCTTTATACCCAAGGACATAAAGACTTTAAGGAATACTGTTGCATTAGGATAGGACCTCTGGTCAAGACCTAAGCAAGTTGAGAGTCTTTCTTAGCTCTTGGTTGCATAGGAAAAGGCCCGTGGCAGTCCTTCTTCATAATTTTTGTCTTTAGGTACCTTCCCCTTTATATATGACTATTATAACCATTTTCCTCTCTTTCTACTTTTCTCTCTATATCACAAACATATTCCAAAAAACACATTCAAACAAAGTTACTGGGTCTAATGTTTGTCTTAATACAACCTTCACAAATTTATTTTCTTTTTTCTTTAATTTTTTCTCAAATTTTTAAAAAAACCATACCTAGCTCTACTCTTTCAAAAAATCTATACATACTCAATAACCAATCAAATTGTTTCACTCCTTAATCAAAAAACAAAACCTGCTCAAACCGGTTCATAACCAGTCTTTACAATAAAAACTCATACATACACAATAACAACAAAGTCTCCACAATAAAAATTCTCACACATACACAATAACAACAACGATCTACACTTGCTCAAACTCATTAACAACCAGTCTCCACAACAAAATTCTCACACATCTATAATAACAATGACAACAGCCACAACAATACCTGCTCAAACCTGCTTATAACTATTTTCACAACAAAATTCTCTTATATCCACAATAACAATAACAACA